AGTGAGGCAATGCCTTGGAAGACTGTTCAAGTATTCTTGTAGTGACTGAAAAACAGAAAATTACTGATTTCAGAGCATCGGTTTTATAGGCGAGTAGGGGTACGATAGTTGGTAGGTGTATGTAAAGGTGTATAGGAATGGGTAATGTTTGTTTGTGACATATAGTTTCCTCACCCATATCTATTCTCCCTCTCACACACACAAGTCAATCAGTCTTGTTTTAGAAAAGACAGCAGATTTGGCTTATTTTCCAATGTGGAAAAATATTGCATTTTTCTTTTGTACAAGACTCCTTCTCCCATATTCTCTTGAGTGAGCGTGGTTTGATGCTTTTCTCTTCTTGACAAACATCATTTTGTTTTCTCTCCTGGAGGCTGGTCATGCAGTCAAGAGAGGGCAGCAACCAAGCATAGAAACTGCACGCCTGGCCCTACATTAGATCACATGGGAATTTAATTTAAGGGATCATTAGAACTGTGTCTTACTGTAATTACTGCTCAATGCATTTAGCCTGCTGCCAGTTCGTCCTCACTGCGAAAGCAAATCTCTGAATTGATCTCTTTTCTTCATGTTTTGTGCCAAACAAAAGAAATCAGCCCAAACTCCTGAATCACTTGCAAATAAGTTCTGTGCCATGGGAACATGGCCAGACAAACACCAGGCACTGCTCTGGGGACACTGTGTAGAAAGCACAGGTCCCACACCTGCATTTCTTTTTAGTAGTACCGTTTAACATCTTCATCAGTACTGCTTAATATATCTCATCAGTGACACAGACAGTGGGATCGAGTGCACCCTCAGCCAGATTGCAGAGGACACCAAGTTGAGTGGTGCAGTTGACACACCTGAGGGAAGGGATGCCATCCAGAGGGACCTCGACAGGCTTGAGAGGTGGGCCCGTGTGAATCTCATGAGGTTCAACAAGGCCAAGAGTAAAGTCCTGCACCTGGGTTGGAGTAACCTCTGGTAACAATACAGACTGGGGGATGAAGGGATTGAGAGCAGCCCTGAGGAGAAGGACTTGGGGGTGCTGGTTGATGAGAAGCTCAACGTGACCAGACAGTGTGTGCTCGCAGCCCAGAAGGCCAACTGTATCCTGGGCTGCATCAAAAAAAGCATTACCAGCAAGGCGAGCGAAGTGATTCTGCCTCTCTGCTCTGGTGAGAGCACACCTGGAGTCCTGAGTCCAGCTCTGGAGCCCTCAGCACAGGAAAGACATGGAGCTGTTGGAGCGGGTCCAGAAAGACCTTATTGCAGCCTTGCAGTACTTCAGGGGGACTTATCAGAAAGATGGGGACAGATTTTTTAGTATGGCCTGTAGCAATAGGTCAAAGGCTAATAGTTTTAAACTAAAACAGTGTACATTTAGACTGGATATAAGGAAGAAATGTTTTACAATGGGGGTAGTTAAAGAGTGGAATGGGTTGCCCAGAAGGGTGGTAGATGCCCCATCCCTGGAAACATTCCAGGTCAGGTTGGACGGGGCTCTGAGCAGCCTGATCTGGTTGAAGATGTCCCTGCTCATTGCAGGGGGTTGGACTAGATGACCTTTAAAGGTCCCTTCCAACACAAACTATTCTATCATTTTATGATTCTATGATTTCCACAGCTTTACAGGAGACTAAAAGCATGTAACAAACAAGTGTAAAGCTATGTTGTACCTTTATTTCCATGTGTAAGACATTTTCATTGCTCATGCAGTGAACATGCACACCTTCCTACTGCAGGCTGTGTTACCGATAACACACTGCTCTGCCCTTTAAGGGGCAGCATTTTCTTTCAAATTCATCATTCCAGTGAGATGCAGAGCCATTTCCTTCACGAGTAATGCTGCATGATCAGATCACCACCTACCCTTAAATACATGCTTATTCCACTATTTATTGACCTGATCCAGGCTGAACCTGTTTTAGAAACAAAAGTACGTTGGTTTTACCACAGATAATTATCTTCACCTCAAAATAGTTGCAGTGTTTTGGCCCCTGCCTCCAGAGGCCGTTTAGTTCTTCTGCCCCTATTTTTGATCTTTCAGCACTAAAACACAAGTTCCGAGCAGACTTTCATTGTAGCAAGCAAAATGTCACGGCCCGGTAAAAACGGTGGCAGAGAGAGGGAGGCTCCGCGTGGGTTTTGTCTTCCTGAGGGACAAAGGTGCTGTTGCTCTCTGGGGCTCTGCTCTTCCCGTGTGTCCTGGGTTTGGCCAGGACAGGGTTAATTTTCACCGGACTCCAGGAAGGGGCACAGCCGGGGGGTGGGGGCTGACCCCACCTGGCCAAACAGAGCCGGGTATTCCATACCATGTGACCTCACGCTGGGTTCCGCTGGGGGGGTGGCGCGGCGGGAACTCTCTCGCGGCTCGGGAGCGTGCGGCGCCGGTGCGGTCCGAGAGAGCGGGTCTGTTTTTTGTCGTGTTTTCTCCTTATCTGTACAGATGCCAACTCTTTACCTGGTTACTGGAAGACACCTGAAGCTCTCCTGGTGCAACGAAACTAGCGTTTAAGGGCAGAAGAAGAAGAAATATCATCCAAGCACACTGTGCGCAGCTGGACAGGGCTATAATGGTGGGAAAGCACGAAGCGGTGGATGACTCCTGCTGCCTGCGCTATACTTAGACTCGAACGGACTAATGCTGGCTTAACCTTGTATATAAAAAAAGGAAAAGCTGTGGGTCAGACCGAGACCTAGCTGTGGGAGACTTTGGCGGGCTTCCCAGGGCAGGATTTGCCGGGGGAGCCCCAAGCCCACAGCGAAGGCGCTCCAACGGTGCCAGACACGGGCTGTCTCTCGTCATAAATCTCTCTGGGTGGCGAAGGGGACACACGGCTGGGGACCGTGCCCACTCGTCCTCAGCCAGCAGGCC